GTCGATGTCCTCTTTCCTATTAAGATGGTGTTAGAGCGAATGAAAAAGAGGTAATCTGATGGTGCCATATCTGGAGAATATAGTGGGTAGGGGAGAACTTCCCAACCCAACTCCATAATCTTGTGCTGCGTTAAACGTGCCACATGTGGACGTGCATTGTCATGGAGAAGAACACCTTTCTGATTGATGAGTGAAGGACTTGATTTAAACATTCCAACTGCTGACTATAGATCTCTGCAATAAGAGCTGTTACCAGGTCCATTCTGAAGGCCTTCTGGGATAATGCCAGCTGATTAGTTTGTTGTTTGTACAAAATGTAAGCATTTACAACTGTCAAGTCCAACAGTTTTATACCATTTTATTGTCCTTCGCTCAGTAGAATGGTAACTTAATTGTTGGTCATTCAGGTCTACCCCTCCCATAAACTTATTGTAATCCACAGTTAACTGAGGTTTTGTAACCTCAGCATCCCTCCCTCTTCTTGTCACAGTTGTCATATTATTTTAGTGTAAAGTTAAAAGTACATAAATGTCTCATTTGTCAGTCCACTTCACAGCTGTCAGAGTTCCACATTTAAAAATAGGTGCTTCCCTTCTCTGTATGATTGTACAAACCAGTTGCTTTGGTAAATACAGTCTGTCTTTCCTGCATGTCCCACAAGCATAGGTTTCCATAGTCAGTAGTTTGTCAAGTAGATGAGGGGAAGTGTAAAAGTTGTTCATGAAAACTCAGTGTCCTAGTTTGTTGTACTTGTCCATCAGTTCCATCACAACCTTGTCTGCTAGGCCTTTAGCTGGAATTTGCCCTCTTTGCCTGTTTAAATTTTAAACTTCATACAGTATCCACTCACAGTTTCTGCCAGGAACCACAACTTGATTTTCCACTTGACAGATTTCTTTTTTAAATATTGAAGGAAACCAATTCTACATTTTGTGCCCAGCATCTGTTCATCTATAGTTAGTTCTCTGTTAGGAGAATAGTTAGAAACAAAAGAGTTTAGTAGATGGTCCATGATAGGTCCAACTTTAAAAAGCTTATCATAGTTAAGGTCAGTTCTAGGAAGAGCATTACAATTATTATTGAAATGAAAGTAAGTGTGGATAGCTAAAAACCTGCTGGCATCTGTAGTTTTCAAACTGGTTTGTTTCCTTCACAATTATACTTAGAGTATCTACAGTGAATAGAAGTTTAAATAAATCAATAATTGTGTTGAAAGAGGTGACCTGACCTGTCTGAACACAGGTTCACCTCTGTTGAATGGAGGTATGTTTCTTTGATCCTCTTTGGTGATCTACTCCCAGGTGAGAGGCTTCTCCTGCTGGGAAGGGACAGTCCTAGTACACACTGTGTCTCTACCCCTTCCCCTACCCTTCGTAGCCCTGCCTCTTTTTTGTGGTGATGATGTTGCTTGTCTAGATGTACCTGGCCTGGGTGGTTCCTGTACATCTTCATCTGATAAAGACCATCAAGCCACTTCTTGATCTTTCCATAAGACAGAATCAAGGAGAACTGAATCTTTACATAAAAATCAATTTACTCTTGGAGTAGTAAAAAAAATACTTGATTCATTCATGGATAAATTGTTAACAAAAATACTTCATAAAAAAAAAAAATGATTTTTTTTTGTACAAACGACATGTAATGTTTATTAAAAATCTGCCAAATTTTGTGAAAATACACATACTGTATTAAAACTTATAATATTAAAACTATATACAAGTAAAAATGGTCACGTGGTTGGTCCCTGGCACCAAGCCTGTGTTGAAAGAGTTAAGGCTAACCACTCACATGCCGATTAACTTCACGTTTTGTAACTTTTTTCTTTGATTGAACTTCACTTTACTTTTTCTCTACTAACTTGCTCTCACTCTGTCACCTACATATATATATATATATATATATACATCCTTGCCCAACTGAGGCCTGGAAGTTTCTATGACCAATGTGAGTGATGCTATAATGTAATGATACTCAGTTGAAGTAAAAAGAAAAACACTGAAGACTTGATAAAGGTGACATCAACAATATTAGTAAAGCCTAGACAACAATGTAATTGCAAACACAATGTACAATTCATATGGAGTTACAAACAAAATTTGTCACAACTAACACCTTCAACTAAATACACAAAATAATAACACTTACACTAAAAAAGCTTGTATATCCAACAGTAACTATATTAATCAGTGTAAAATGTTATAAAAGTTTTATGCAGTGGTGATGATCTGAAAATAATAAAGGATTTCTGCAGTAGAAATGGTTAAATGATTTCAGAACTTTTATGCTATTTAGTAATTACCTGATAACTATGCAAATGTTTTGCACTAATGGTGGTCTTATAGTCAAGTGTTAATAAGTTAACACTTGTTCTACAGTAGTCTAACTCATACTCCAGTTTAATTATAACCCTCATTCTGATAATTTTTTGTGTGATATGACAAAAATATCATCATCTATCTACTGTCAGAATTTCAGGGCCAGTCACTTAGTAATATTTATATCCAACATTCACATATCATTTCTACTGGTCAAGATGTTAACATTTCATTTTATACCTTTGTAAAATATATTGTTAATCCCAACTCTTTTTGGTAGTTTTTATGCATACTTGGAATTGTATGCATTTGTTTTGTTTGTTTGTTTTTCTCATTTCTTTTTCCTGCCTAGCGAGTATCATGTTCACCTTTGTGATTAAAGTCCATTTGAGTTAGGAAATCAGCTGAAGCTATTAGATTAATGCTATTGAAATTATTTGGGTATTCAAACCCCCGAGATTCAAGATATTCAAAGACTGATCAGTAATTTTCACATCTTTTGCTGAATTCTACTCTGGTTCACTTTCAGATTCATTGTTTTGAAGAAGACTGTGTCTGTGGTATGGATCATCACAACACTGGGATGAATTCCTCGTAGGGTAGTTCCTCCTTAGTCCAAGTTCACAATTAATGTACTCTAGTTACCATATATAATCTATGAATGGGATTCAGGAAAACAAATTTGTTTTTAAATACTTTCACAATAGTCTTCAAGTGTAAAGATACTTCTGTAGCTTACATGTGATTTTCTCTTATAGTAGTTGGATCTTTATTTAATGTAATGATTTCCTTCTTTCAGCTATTGTTTCAATTACTTTGGCAGTATGACTATTACTTTTTAACATAACTATTCCATTACTATTGTTTGGTTTTGAATTATTAATTCTTTAATCTTAGTAAGGTCAATAAAAGCTTTAACATTTTTATGTAATTCTAATTCTGGAAGCACACATATAATTCATTTGTTGAAGAATATGCGTAGTAAAGCTAAAGTTTATAAATCAGATAATTCTATGGTATCAAATTTTCATACTTATATATTATATTCTCAGATTGCTCTTATTTCTCTCAGAATTGCCTGCATGATCTGCAAGATAACAGGAAGACTACTGATACTATATCACAGAGTAGTGCATATAGTTTTCTGTGCCCATGGCTGAGATTGAGTTACAAGAAAGATACTGGATGCAAGTTTGCACACAGTCACTGTCTTTATTTACAATAGACACAATCACAACAAGTGTAAATGGTCTTCATCACATAGAGAGAGAGATGAAGTTTAAGTTCTCAATTAGAAATAAGCTTTATCTAAAATGATATCTTCTGCAAAGTAGAATTTATATCAGTATTTTGTATGTTCTCTATGTTTTGATTATAAGTAATAGGACCTGGCTTTATACACACATAAAAAAGGCTAGGCTGCTCAGGACTTGCACATCATCCACATAACTTAAGATTACTCTCAGTTCAGTCATTGCACATGACACAAAGTTTTAGTGTCTTACTTTCAAAATTTTATTAAACTACTTTTTGTTTATGTTATACCAATTAGTATAAGTTGTTCGAGTTTGTTCATCTAAAAAAAAGTGACATTAATTTCTTGACTACCTAATACTTTGCTGAAAATATAATTTTTTGTATGTGAAAGATTTGTAATGTTTACTGAAAGACTGTTAAATTTTGTAAAGATATACATACTATATTGAAAGTTAGTAGTATCAAATCTATAAAGACTTTTAACGAGCACAAAGAAGTTATGTGGTTGGTCAAATCGACCAAGCCTGTGTTGAGAGAGTTAAGTAAAACATTGGTTACATTTATACATACTGTTTGTGTGTTTCATTCACTTTACCCCTTTAGTTTCACCTACCCACAAACAAGTCAGTTTGATCAAGTTGAAAAGTTTGTGGCTACTACTAGCAAAACAGTAGGTCAAACAGTGTTTTCTGACTAACATAGCAGGAGTTTAATTGTTACTCTTGTGTTTTTCAGAAAAAGTCACTACCTTCCAAACATTTCAGCATCAAAACTAAAATATTCTCTCTTCCAAAGTAATGAAAATAATAGGTTTGCTGTATCTTTAAATAATGCATCACAGGCCAATAACCAAAAAGTTAACTTCAAACTTCAAGTTCTTGAGATCTCACTCAAATGTTATTTACCATTTGTTTTTTCAGATATTGATTCATATTTGTTATACATCACATATAATGATTAATACACATACATTGCCATATACGCATGTTTCCACAGTACACATCACATATGCTAGTAGCTGTGGACAGATCACCTCTGGTATCATGCACTACAACCGTGATGACCAATTTGGTATATTCCTATGAACTATATATCAATATATATGCTGTAATGTGTTGCCATCTGTAAGCAGTGAAACTCAACGTGTTTTATAAGCATTATGAAATAAGAAATCACTGAAAAAAATCATCTGTACAAAGATTTCAGCTAAAGTTCTTATAGTTAGGATTAAAAATTTATATGGTTGTTACCTTATATGTCCATCACATTCTAATACCATTCTAGGTAAAACATATCTATTTATATTAACCAATTTAACAAGCCCTGATGAAATCACAATGGCAAAATTAGGTTGAAAGAAAAAGAAAATCATCTGGGGGAATAAAGTTTGTTTTTTTCTAACTTTATTGTCAAAACAATAGTCCACAGTAAAGTATATTCATACTTCTAGTAGTAGAATTAGCACTCATATTGACACTCACAAGTCAACCATTTGTTACGATTAGTATCACAGAAAAGTAAATACAGGCAATTCCAATGAAATATCAACCATACTATTCAGATTCACTGCAGCCAAGTATACATTGAGGTGTTATATGTGTTCATATACACTAAGGGACTCTAGTGAGCACTCAACTGGTGGTTGTGGAAATCTTGTACCATTTGGTTAGATATTAAGTGTTCCTTGCAAAGCATCAGTGACAGTTGATTGATAATTACAAAACTTAGTCCATACATTTTATCAGACATTACAACCTGATAGCTCAGAAAGCAATGGTTGCAAAGCCCTTTCAGTCATTGGTTTCTCAAAATATCTCTAGCTTGCATATTAATTTTGCTGATCAATGCAGTTGTGATGCTGCTTCTCTTCATCCACACACACTTGACTGAATTGAGCACTCAACTGTAAAGATTCAGCATTAGGCTGTCTCTCAGTTCACAGACTCTCAACCAACACCAGACTGAAAAATTATTAACATTGAGGGTACAGTGTAGTTGGCTGGTTAAGGACCCCTACATTTGGACAAGTGTTGTGTTCCTGCTCTAGAGCCATGAAGTGACAAGATACTTGTGGTAGCTCAATTTGGCCCATAATTACCATGGTAGTATACTTCCTACTACAGAGAGGCTCAACACTGCCTCACAGCTCACCTCCATCAGTTTGTGCCCATAAGTGTAAATGCATTTCATTAGAGAGAGAGATGAAATATAAGTTGTCAATTTAAAATAACTATGTTATTTTTTAAGTAATCTCTCCTCTAATGTAGAATGTATCTAAATATTTGTATTCCCCTTATAACTGAGATAACTCTGCCTTATATACACAAATATGCTTGACCATCATACAAAAATTTTCATATGCAATAAATTAGTGACTTATCTACACAACTTGTTTTTCCTCAAATACTCTGGATTATTCAAAAAAATATGCAATCTAAGTTAGTGTCCTTCACTATTAAAGATTACATTTTATGTTTAATAGAAATATCTGTCATCAAACTGGTGGGATTGGTGTATGATCTAATCTTTTAATTGCTATTTCTAATTTGTTTTTAAGTCATATTGAAATAGAGTGCCTAAAATAATTTCTTATTCTATTTAAACCACTTTACAGTATGATTTTGTTTACAGTACATTATTTTCAAGTTAAAAACACTTATATTACTGATCAGTAAATATCTTAATGTTAAATTTACAAGAGAACACGAATTTGATTCTTAATTATAACTTAAAATCCCATGGGTTAATTGTAGACTGTCAGTTTGTATCCATTGTTTTTAAAACCAGTTTAGTAAAAGTATTAATTAAAAAACTTTATTGAACTGTTTCAACCTATACATCAATACATGAAACGGTATATGAATTGAGAAATTTTGAAAGTGATTGAATTCCATGCTAACTTTGTTGATGGACACAGTCTGCAAATGTGTAAATAAAGCTGCAACCACTTGTATTTTATGGTGTACTGTACCAAAGTAACATACTATTTGTTATACATTATATAGGCTAACATTCTATGTTAGTCAAGAAAAACCTAGTTTTCCCCTTAAGCAGATCATACTCTGAAACCCAAATTAAAAGTTTATCTAAAACTGTTTCTTAGAATAAAGGACTTTTTTTAGGATGGCTTCCAAAGGTATTTTGTTGCATATTAGTTTTTATGTTTTTACTGAGTAAATAAGGTGCAAGATCTACCACTGTTTGGCAATCCTGAATAGAAGAACTCATTCCAGAATGAATGGGATGAAGTGTAGCTAGCTCATCACTGCCTAGTGAATGAAATGCTGTAATCAAAGCTGACAACCTACTGTTGTATATAGAATAATTGAAGGTGTGGTAGATTTAAGGATTTGAGAGAATACAAGGATAGGCAGTTTCAAGCCTATCCGTAACTAGCAAAACCATTTTCTCAAATTGTTTGTGAACTTGTTTATAATTTACACTGAGTGAAGATACAGTCAGGTAAAACATTGTGGCACATTAGTGATATGAAGCCTATCACCTTGTTCGCTTAGTGTAGGAAATTTATTCTATTTTTAAAACATTGCTTTATCCATTTCAGTTTAGTGTGACATTAAGTGAAAGAATGATATATATGTATTGCTTTCTTACTCTAACAGATCAGAATGAAGCTTTCACCATAAAGCTATGCAAACATATAAAAGCTTTAGTAAAGAAAAGATAAGTGAATTGTTTTAACTGATGATTGGAAAGTGCAGAGAAAAAATGCCTGAATTTATTGCTTGGTTTCATGACAAAAGCTATGTTCAGATAACATTTATATACATTTTTGAGCTTTAAAGTCTAAATGTTTTATCATTATTTGGCTTTAAGATTAAAGTTTGAATTTTAACAAACATTTTAACCAAATTTTTCACAATCACACAAAAACTGAAGATGAACAAAAAAAGACTGAACAAAAGTAAAATTGTCAAAATTAGTAATTATTTGATTATTTTACTTTAAATTTAATTTATCAGTATTTTAAATCTAGTCAGTCTGCCATATTACTATGGCTGTTAAATATAGTAACTGCAATGGAAAAGGGTTGTGCTTCAAAATTCCTAAAAGTTAGTAAAATTTCTTATGAATTTATCTCTTCAGAATTTAGTATATTTTTAAGAAGGAAAATTTACAATAAATTTTATTTCTTATAGACAACTGTTTGGTGAAGGCTTACATTGGGCTGGATGTGCCATCATTGTGTTGTTGGGACAGCAACGTAGGTTTGAAGCTCTGGACTTTTGTTACCACATCCTTCGAGTTCAGCGAGTGGATGGAAAAGATGACATGGTGAAGGGTATTGTAAGTATCATAAATTACATTGTAAATGTTTTCTATCATCTTAGATAGACTGTAGGTAAATATATAGAGAGAAGGGTGTAAGTGGGAAAATATTTTCCCCTTCCCCAACAATTTTTAGCATTTCATATGACTGCCCAATCTTTCAATGATTACAAAGTAAAACTGTTGCTATTACAATGTAAAGTAAATAGATAAATCTGATGTTAATGAAAATCATAAACATAATTTTTACATTTAATGACTTAAATAGAGTTTATAAAACTCATAGTTCACCACCTTAATATAATTCACACAGAAACAGTTGTTCAAGTAACTGTTGATATAAATAGCATCTCTCCTACTACTATGTCATATTCCTGCTGTCCTGATGAACCCTAGTATTGGAGAAAGGCATCATCAACACTGGATATAGCAGATGTTACATTTTTCTTTATTTTTATAAGTTCTTATAATTGAGTAAGTGAATTTGATTTTTTAAACTAACGTAGGTGTGTATAATTATGTTATTTGAAACTATGTATTTATAAAAAAGGTCTGTTTGCAGTTCTTTGTTTGTAATGTATACATCATATATTTTCTACAATTATATGTCATTATTTTAAAAATTCAAATTACTTTAGTAAAATTTTAAATTATTATAGCAGCAGTTTTATTTCTTAATTTTTTATTTAAATTATACATTTATAATTCTAGTTTTGTCCTGTGTAATTTCTCTATGTGCTACCTTTCAAACAGCATAGTTATATTTATCAAGACATGAATTTTGCAGCTAACAACTACTGGTTCTTTTTTGTTTGCTGCTGCTTCGACCCTCAAGTTACCAGCAGTCTTTGTCAGTCAAGAAATACACGAGTATTTATGTATTTATCATGGAAAACATTAGCTATTTATTGATAATCAGTCCTAAACACAGATTATGTTGACAGCAATTGCTCTGGCCTTATTGAATTGCTGTATCAAGAAGGTAAATAATTTTGTTATGACATCAAGCAGAAACCCAGTGATTCCATGCAATGATTGGAGAGCAGACAGAACCACAAACAGTTGTTTACTTTATCAAACTAATCAAATTTCATTTCTTTACATATTAATAATGTTGAGTTTCCTGAATAACATTTTTATTAATTTGTTGTTTGTCGTACACCTCATGCTGTAATATTTCTATGGGTTACAAAACATTCTGAGTTGTTCTTTATAGTGTAAGGTCATCTCCATTGTTTATGTGACGAATAGACAATACATCATTTGTGAATTGGAGGCCGAAAGATAATATAATATGAATAAAATGCTGTTGTTTACTGGAAAATTTTCAACAATCTAAGCATAAGACATTAATAATGTTTCTGTTGGTGGTTGTCATTTGCACATTTTGTGAAAAATATATTTGAGGCAAAAACTTTTGTGTTAAATTTTTTAAAGAAAATCTGAACATTTTTTTACTTAGCAAATTGCTAATATCAAGGTTATTTGTACACACTTAAAAATTTGCCCTCTCAACACAATGTGACAGGCAACTTTTGGTGACCAAACTTAAACTAACTTCAGTTTTTGATTGTTGCTATACAGCACTTATACAAGAACAAACAGTTCATGTCTGTTTGTAGTTAAAAGCCTTTAGATTATATTGTGCTTTCCACAAACACTTTCTTGGTGTTGCTATTTGTTTATTGTTAATTCCTAAATAACAACGTTCCTGTAAAATATATGTACTTGGATGTGTCTATTAGAAATTAAATATACTGAAACTATACTATGTGATCGTGTGGTACTTCTCATCTTTTTTTGCTTGTAAATATCATTGTTAATTATACAGAACACAAGACAAGTAGTTCATTAAAGTTAAAAGTTAATTTAAAAATTGTGCTTGGAAATTTTCTTTCTTTTTTTGCCTCAGAAAAACCAGTTATTCTTAATGTTGTATGATTAGTAAGTTTCCATATTGTCCATAGCTGACAAATAATTCCTTCTTTTGTAACATATTAAAAAAAAATTGTGTATTTGAATAGTTGTATTGGAAACTTAAACTTTGCCTGTTGAAAGAGCAGAAGAATTTATCTATTTATCATTAGTTTTGTCTGAAAACCATACTGATTCTCTGTAGCCTCTAAAGAAGATGGTTGACAGGATCCGCAGATTTCAAGTACTGAACAGCCAAATCTTTGCTGTGCTAAACAAATATTTGAAGACAAGTGACACAGACAATCTTCCAGTGGAACATGTCAGGTGTTTTCAACCACCCATTCATCCTTCACTTTCCAGTGTTAACACCATCTATCAAAGACCAGAGAATATCTTGAAATGAAAGCTAGGTATGTGTACACAACTTAACTTTTTATGTAATTTACCTGGTTTTATTGTTTGTTTGTTTGAAGCTAAGCACAAAGCTACACAATGGTCTATCTGTGCTCTGCCCACCAAGAGTATCGAAACCCGGTTTCTAACATTGCAAGTTCGCAGACATACCACTGGGGGCTACCTGGTTTTAAGGCATGCCACTATTTTCCTGTCTTAGTTTGCTTACTCATGCCAGTGACTTTACTTTTTATATTTGGAAATAGTAATCTTTTCTTCATACAGTAGAAATACCTAACCAAATCTGCATGAATCTTAGGACATACTTTCTAAATAGTGTATAGTTTCAGCTTTAAAAAAATCCATATAATTTGATTTAATTTTTCTATTATTTTTTATGTTATGAAATTTCCAGAATTTTTTTGTGAGACACTTTTTGAAAAACAAAACATTAAGAATAATTCTTTTGTTTTAACATTTTATTTTAGTTAATTTTAATTAACACTTCTCATCTTGGCATTGATGTTTGCACATTTCATGACCTTTTACAATGTTACATTAAAAATCTAATTAAAATCTTTATTTTCTTCATTCTATATTCAATACAGTGCTAAAAGTTATGATAAAAAAGTCAATTAAATGCAGATCTCTCTTGTTTTCCACATTCTTCTTAACTTGACATTTCAAACCAGGTAATAGTATTTTTCTAACAATATTCTTTGTCAGAATTTGTTTTTATCTAATTTCCACAAAAGGGGGCCTGAGGTCACCTGGAGAGGTCACCTGTTTTAACCAGTTGTACCACTATACAGTTGTGTTGTCTGTCAGTCAGTCAGTAGACAGTAAAATGATCTCACATAAGGGATTCTTAACATTTCAATTTGAACTGTTGTGATGTCAGTTAAACGTATGCATGCCCTGAATCACAAGAAGAATTATGCACACTGTAGGCTAAAACACGCCATGACATTTGAACTTCAAAAGCAAGAAATAAAAATATTTGTTACTTTTAATTTTGGTTTTATTTACTCTTGAACCAGAACACTTCTGTGGACCCTGCAGAAGTACATCTAGTAAATACACTTTGTTTTCAATAAATTCTAAGTTCTTTTATTTATGTACATTGTTTGAATCCAATAAACTGTAGAATGATATTCAATAAATAAGGATTTGAGTCACCGAAATATTTTATCATTGCTACCATATCTCTAAACCTAATAAGGCTTGTCTTGTCATAGAAGAAAATTGTCATAACTTTCAAACAAATAAATTTAACATGAAAATACTTTCAGGAATAAAAAGAATGTCTGATGAAACTATAAAAAACTCTTAAATATGTGGTTATATCCTAAATTTTGTAAACTTCCCATTAAATTACATTTTTCTTCTCTGGAAGAGCTACATCTGTAAATTACCTCTCACACTATTTTATTTGCTCTAGACTGACATAAATAGTTTATAATCTATGTTATGCAATGGTATTTAAACTTTGATTGTAGCTACTTTCAAAGCTGTTTTTCATTAGTAGTTGTTCCCACCCTTTTATGACCTCATAGCATGTGATATGAAAGGGGGAGGCCAACAATAATAAATCATTAGATAAAGAAAGTAAATCACAAAAGAAATAAGACTTGGTTAATTGTACAAAACCTATGCCCTTGGAGGGTCAGAACTATTATTAAAAAATGAAGTACTTTGAACACTTGTTACATTTTTCATATCACACTAAGTATTTTTGAGTAAAACTAAGTGTTGAAATAAAGTTAGAATCATTTTTTTTTACTTAAACTTTGAAAATGAGTATGCATTCATGCACCTGACAACAAAAAGATACTCATGAATCCAGGCAGGATTAAAATATAAAAAAACTTTCAATTTATGAAAACAAATTTACCAGTTAAAAAATATAATAATAGCTTGATATAGAGTCATATTTTTTTTTTTTTGTCTTAAGAGATAGAATTCAGAAACAACATTTAACTGTGTGATTCTTTAGCTCACCAGATTAAAATGTTTGCCCCCCAATTATAAAAGATTTTCTTGTTGGCAAGTTAATTATATATTTGATTATAGAATAAAAATACATGAGATAATCCAACTATAAAGACTCTTCTGCTGATTAGTCAGGTTTTTGACTTTACTGAAGAGGAAATAACTTGAAATTAAATGACTAGAAAAAATTAAAGATTTTAACAGCTAATTTGTTAAGTTTCTCTGACAATTTATTGCCAGTTGTGATTGGTGGAATGTGAGAATCCTTAAATTTATAGTAGTCAGAGGTAGAGTTTGACTTGTTTGTCAAAAAAGAGAAATACTGATTAACACGTATAAGCTTATACTGATATTAATATTGTCTTTTCATCTATGTGAACATATTCTGTGTATTTGACAAAAGATTTTATATTTAAATAAATTCTCAATCATCACTCTCTTTGTCACCTCTCCACTCTGAATTCTTTTTTTTAGATTTTCTTCCTTTATATGAGTTTCAGAGTATCCAGCAGTTAGGTACACAAACTATAGATATTGACAGGACAAATTTTAAATTAAGAAACCCCCACCTTTTTCATTTTCTTCCAACTTTTTATTCTTTTGAAGTCATTTATTTACTCATGCCTACTTGTGAATGGTACATGTTCATAACCATTAGAAAGATAATTTTGTGAACTACGTGCTTATAAAACTGTATGTTAATTTATATTGGTAAAAGGTGCCATTTTGTGAGCAGATTTTGTTATGTGTAGACTGAAGTCAGTAAGTAATGAAATTTTTAAAACTTTTTATAGGTTAGCTAGAAAGCTAAGTAAATTATAGTAGTTTTAGAGCATTCTAATTTTTGGTTTGAATTATTGTTCGAAAGCTCCATTAGTTACTTTTTGGACACCCAAAATAGTAAGAAAAAATAAGGCTTATGAAAGGAGGCACTACTCAATGACAAATGACCTAGAGTTAAGGTAAATTCTAAATTTGTTTTTTATGTATATTTTTTATTCATTCATATATATTTTTTAACAAAAGTAACTAAAAGGTAAAAAGTAAAAAAAATATTAGATTAAATAAGCAAACTTAAATAAATAAAATAAATTTAACAATTTTTTTATCATCACTCCTTGAGCAGTACACAAGCAGTTAGATGTGCATGATTTAATCTGGTTCATTGGTTTATTATACTGTACTACTCGGTGATCTACTTTTTGTCATAGTTTAACCAATAAAAATTACAAAAAAGGAGTAAGTTTCAAATATAAAACAATCAAAAACAAACTTAAAAAAAATGTTTTTCTTTAGTGAAAATCTCATGAGTGTTGCAACAGAAAAGCAAGGCACTTTCATTGATAACTGCATCTGCAAAGAAATACTTCAATAAAATCTACTCTGTGATGATAGCTTATTTTTAAACTCAAATTTCAATAAAATCCTTTTTCCCATGGATGGTGAACATGATTGAATGTCAAGTATGAGTACCTTGTTGTAGAACTGTCAGACAATTCCAGAAAAGGATGCAGGCCTGTTTTTGGGCTGCAGGCTCAATAGTCTTCTGCAGGAACTAGCAGCTATACCTGACCAGAGGGTGGGTATTTCTGCTAGTAGTTGTAATGTTTACAAAGGCACTACCTAGTAAATTCAGAATTATAATAAACATTGCTGTCCATAGCTCCACAGAAATGGAGTTTGGTGCAATGAACCAACATTGTTCTCATAGCTTTAACAATGTAAAGAATATACCTGCTTGATGACATGTTGCAGTACTTGGATATAAATTCATCAGATGCAAAGTATGTTCCATTATAAGGGAATAACTATGGATGAATAACTAAAGTTAGAACGATAACCAGCATTGTGTTGGATGGAAAAGTATCTGTACCCAATTGTGTGACTAGTATTGCTTCAACTACACACTCTTCATGAACAGGTACATAGCTTTCAGGTCAAATGAAGATGCTGTTGAAAATTGTATTGATAATCTTAAAACAAAACAAGAAGAATTTGGAAGGCTACAGTGAGAGTTTAGGGTGTTTTATTATTTGGTTTTTGGACAGAACAAACTCACCTCATTGATGATGCACATTTGATAAAGCTAACACTATACTATGATTGATCAAATGTCCTTGTTCTACAACAGTTGTGATTGTGAAAGAGAAGGGTAAGTCAAAGTTATGAGCTGATTTTAGATGGTTGAATGTGGGAACTCGAGTCTGTGAGTTTCTGCAACCTTAGACAGAAAATATCTGGATGCTCTAGACCTTTCATCTGACTAGTAGCATGTAAAACTAGATGATGATTGAAAACCTAAAACTGGTTTCTACACCAGCTAGGGATGAGTTATGTGTTTTACATCATTCCATTTGGCCTGTATAATATGCCAAGATCTTTTAAACAGGTCATGAAATTTAGTGTACAATGGAAAAGATACCAAATATGTGTGAATTACATTTTACTGTTTGCAGAGTTTGCCTGGGCTCTTCAAATCCTGGAAAGTCATGAAAATGAGCTCTAAAAAATTTCAATGTTGAAAGTAATCTTGGAAACCACTGTTTTTAAGTCATGTTTCTGGAAAAGTCCTACAAATCCTGAGGTTACTGTTTCAATAAAAATTTCACATGAAATAATTACCTCAATCTGAAACCAAATTCAACAGTTTGAATATCATAATTGAATTTTTTTTACTTAGTGTCGGCCATTGTAAAAAATTTTGCCTCGCAAGACCCAAAACTATTTGATATCTGCTGAAAGCATGTTTGATGAATTAAATGCCAGTTTAATCCTGCATAATAGAATTCAAGAGTCCTGGGAAAAGTCATAGAAGGTCCTGAAATTTCCTTTTTTAATGTCTGAATGAACCTAGTCACTTTTGGCTAAACATTTCAGATTGCTTTAAAAAACCAATGGCTGGTATTTTAACATATAATGAAGGCAACATTGAACCTGAAGCCAGTAAGGTATGAGTTTATCTGTACAAATGTAGAGTTTCTTAGACATATAATTAATAACTAATTCTGCAAAATTGCAATTGTGA